CTTGCTGAATTCTACTATGGTGTTTTATCTGCCTCATTCTTCAGACTGATAAGCTAATTTATGTCATGTAAAGAACAAGCTGAACAGATTTTTGATGATGGGTAAGACTTCATTCCAGTGCCCTGGAAAATCCAAAATCCTTAGGGATGGAGGGCAGTAGACTCATTTACTAACAAAAGACAAGTCCAGGAAGTGAACTACTCTCCTTACACCATAGCCATAACCTCTGTTTAGAAAAGTAAGCATTTATAGCTATTAAGAAAAGTGTTAGTACAGTGCTTCATTCATTTAATATTCACCACAAATATTAAGAAAATTTATTCATCATTGAGTATGGAGAGGTGAGTAAGCAGACACGATGTATATCCTCATGAAGCTGACAGTTCAATGGAGAAAGCAACAGTAAAGACATATGAAAAGAACCACACAGTTGGATAAAGTCTTTTAAAGTATCACATATTGCTTTGACAAAAAATAGGAAAGGAAACATGCTTTAGACAGAGACTATTTGTTTTTAATGAAGTGATTTATACACTGAGGTTAGTAACAAGGTGTGGCTGGCGTAGGAGGGGAAAGAGATGTGAAGTGTGTGATATTTTCAACAACAACAAAAAACCCAGCATGTATCTAGCCATTGAGTAGGAAGAAGTTTGGTTCATTTGATGAAATGAATGAAAGCCAGTGTAGCTAGAAGTAAGCATGGGCAAGGGAAAATGACAAAAAAAAGGACAGAAGAGTGTTACAGAAGTGAAACCATGTAGCCATGATGAATGGTAAAAGGAGAAAACGTTCTCTACTCAAAACATCCATCTCTGTAAATGGCCGGCTGCTCTACTAACACTCTAAAGACTCCAAGTATCTTTCCCTCTATCACCCAGAAGGAAGAGGGATTGTCTGGTTGGTGAGTTTAAAAGACGAAACTCAGCACAAGTAGCTCTACTCCTTCCTCTCTCACCATTTCTTTGGGAAAGATATATCTTGAGAAGCACTCATTCTGCAGTCTTTCTCCAGGACATAGGACACAGAGTGAAAGAGTATCATGGCGGGGGAAAACGATTTCCATTAGTCTACCCCAGGTCTCCAGATGTAAGTTAAGCTCTCGGTATGAAAGATCATGATTAGAAGGCCCACTTTTCCTTAAATAGAAGGCAAACTCCTCAAAATATATTTATCAACACTAATGAAATCATATTTTAATTAATGTATTTATTAATAGATGTGATATTACTAAGTATGACTATAACATGTAACATATTAACTCTTGCTGCAGAAACTAATTAGATGCTTGCCAATTCCATTTTTTTTCTTTTGGGGTGTGTGCTTAAATACACTGCTCAACATTCTTTGCAATTAGGTATTGCTATGCAAATGAGTACTCATCTGTGAATTATAAGTGGAAATAATGTACACTACTTCCAAGCCTGGTCTATATAATACAAATCATCCTTACATAATCCTCCTTTCTTTTTTTTTAATCGTTGATCAGATGACCTAGTGGCAAGCTGCATGAGCCTCTGAGAACCTGAAGGACAGCAGAGTCACTGGATAGATGGAGAAGGCTGCCCTCCTAACACAGGTAGGGCTATGCGTGAGTCAACAGTCATCACCTATTGGGTATTATGTACTGGAATTTGGGATATTGCTTTTTAGAGAAGTTAGGGTAGGAAAGAGTGGTGTCAATGGGCATCCACTAGACCATCAGCCCCTGATGGTTTAGGAAGGTGAATGTGGACTTTCTTGGACTGCTGAATTACTTGGAAGGCAGCTATCCACTAAGTAACAGAATTCACTGAAATGTTTCTAACCACAGGCTAATACAATCCGATGTAATGTCTTATAAATATCATGCTGCTTGGTGGGTGTAAAATGAATTTAAATAGGTCAACAGTGGTGGTGAGAGGAAAAGGCAAGGAGATGATGATGGCTGTGTCTGGGAAAGCAGCACGGATGGAAAGGAATGATGTGAGATACAGTTTGGAGGCAGAATTGATAAGACACATTAATGTTCATAGTCACTTCTATGAAATAATTTCTTTAAGCCACAGGAATAGCAATAAGAGGCAATGTTTCAAAATTAGCATTGAGCTCAGAACTGCACTAATATTCTACCATATGCCTATTTCTAATAACTGTCTTTGAGGACCTGCCTTGATGTGTGCAGAATAGCTCCCATATGTCACAAGTTTTAAAAAGACAAGGTGTGAGTATAGAATGTTTGCTACATACAACTAGTAATTCTAATATTCTATTTTCTCCCAAATCAGAAAGGTATTTTGAGGTGTTTAAAACAAGGCTTCAATGTAAACCATAAAGGGGCCCAACAGCGCCTGTGTCTCTGTAAGTGTTTATAAAAATTTATGAAAGAATATTATAAATTATAAGCTACTAGGCACATTGTTATGATCATAATATGGTGACTTATTAAGAAAATCTATTAGAACATTCCAAGTAAATGCTCACAATATTCAAAGAAAATAAAAAATTACTTTTTAAAATTTTTTATCTTGAGACTAATTTTTAAATGTTAGCAAGTATTCTCACATATGGCAAGGAGTCTCTTACATTATGGAAAGAGAGTCACCGATTGTTAAAATGAAGTACCAGAATTATGTGTAATCAGTGTTACTTACATGAATATTTGATCCTCCAGACCATGAAATTTCATATAAATGATCCTTTCCACACTCTCAGAATTCATAATCTAATTCTGAATCAATACATATGGACTTACAAATGAAAAGCTGAATAAGTACTAAATTCAGCATGAAAACAGCATTTTGGATATAATTACCTCTACTATGCATTGTCTTGGTTGTATTTTAAACACTTAGATTTTACAACTAAATTTTTATCTTTTCCCTTCTCTATATGTCAGTAATTTAAGAATGATTTCCCTCCAAAAGCACACTAGACTTTCGAATGCATTTTTACAGTGCTAGGTCTATTAAGCACAACTGTTTCCAACTTTAACAATTGCTAATCTTTCCAACAGCAGTTCTTAGACAGGCATGTATTTGCTTTTAACATTTTAGGCATCTACAACAGAAATTACACTTGTATTCAAACATTCTTAGAGATGATGAGCTACGATAAATGCAAAGGTCATTATCGGAATTTTTGAGGAAAAAGGGAGTAAGAAATAACAATTTACATGAAATTTCGAGGAATGCATCACTACATACCTGTCAATCAACTGTATGGAGACTATGAATATTTTACACTTATACTTGTCCTATAATACTATTTCTAAATGTAGCCTAAAATTCTTACCTGTTATAACCCATTATAAGATATGATTGAACAAAGAATATATAAATAATTAAATTCATTCTAAGTAGTCTTATTTGTTTAGTTGCTAAATGTTCTTACACATGTCATCTTATTTTTTAAAATAATTTAAACTTATGTATATATCACATTTCTTTTTTAAAAAATCCTAAGAACATAAGAAATGTTTTGTTGGAAATGAAAAGGCATATTTAAAATTTTTTTCATATAATTCAAATAATGTTTGATCTTTATATTTACAAATTTTCAATGTCTATAAAAAATTTTTTACATTCATTGCAGTCATTATTCAATTTTGTGTTTCATTTAACTGAAATATGCACTCAAAAGTATATATAGACAAATTTTTAAAAATTTTGTGATTTCTTCTGTTCTGAAACTCTGTCAGCTTTTTAAACTACCAAGCATTATATATGTATTAATAAGCATAACTGAATGGTCATCAAATAAAGATCCACCTTACACTGTACAATATCATAGTTTAATTTTTTCTCTCACCTATTTTGCTACCAAAATCATATTTAAACAGAAAACATTAAACATTTTCAAATACACATATTGCTTTGTAAACCAACTCAAGAAACCTTACTTTTTCAGTATGTTTGCTACATAAATGTTACTTAAATAAAGGTTTACAAAACTAAGAGTAAGATTATCAAGTCTGTACTGCACACTAGTGGCAAGAGATAGTAAATGCATTTTTTTTTACTTAAATTTTACACTGTTTGCATCTTAAATATTAGCTTTTCCAGTCAATTTTAGAACCCGTTATATTACAGACCACATATACATACATTCTAAACATAATATGTTTTGAGGTCATGAACTATTTTTCTAGTACACATCTATGTATTGTAAATATCACACCCAGAGACAGGTTCCTGTGCATATAAATACTATGAAACTGTGTATCTATGTATATGTATGTGTATACATGTATACATGTGTATATATAATATTAATATTGCACACATACCTATTAAATGTTAACTCTTGTGAAAATAGTCATTATTTTGGCCATTTTATTCTTTACTCATTATTCTTCCCTACATACTTATGTAATACAATGCTTTAATACACATAACATGTACACTTAATACAATTGAAATCATAAGTGCTAATAAGTCAATGAAATGGGAAGGGTTAATGATGGCATTTTATTGATGAAAATGCAAAAGAAAAGTATTCTGGCAAGTGGCGGATCCCAAATAACTAAAATGTCGATATGAAAAGAACCTTAATACACCTGAGATAAATTGATATTTTCAGACTGCTTCATGAAAGAATAAGAGAAAATCATTTACAATAGGTGGTGTGCTATCAGAGTCATCTTTAACCATCCCCTCTCATGTGCCTAGAATAAATAATTCATTGTGTCATGTAGCTGATCATTAACCATTTAACTATCAATATGCATATCAAAACATCATTTTATATCTTAAATATATTCGGTAAGATTTTTGATAAGAAATAATGACCAATATAAAACTGCCACAGATGTGTTAATAAAAACAAGATGTCATACAATGTGAATTTGACTAAGTCCACTATTGATAAGTGATTTCAAATATTCCCCTTATAGCGGAAATTCTAGTTTTTAACTTCCCTTCCTCTTGTCTGTTGTGCCTTTTGTTTTCTGTCCACTTGCTTATACATTCAAAGAAATAAAAAGCTAGCCTTCATTTCTTCCTTTAAGCCATATACCCCCATACCTCTTTCATATTTTTGGGCTTTGATTCTTTCAGTTCTTCGTACTTCCATTTCCACAGAGACAAAGCCGACTCTAGTCTCTCTATTTCTTTTTCCAAAGCTGTGCGCATTCTAAATAATTTAAGAATTAAAAGAAAAAAAAGTTGGCCTTAACTTTAAAATAATTACAAGGATGCATCCAATTTCATATCCATTTTCCTAATTTTTGATATTTATATGTGATCTTAATGAGAAAAAACACTTTGCAACTTATTAAAAATTATAGATATAGAATGCAACTTTTTTAGTTTATTATTCTGACAATTAATTTTACAGTAGATTAAATATATTTAATTTGGCTCTGCCAGTGTTAACATTTTGCTTGCTTGCTTCTACATGTTTCATGCATGCCTCTCAATTCCTCTCGCTCATAATATTTTCTTACATGGGAAGATACATATGTTTCTAATTTTAACATTTTTTTAATCCGTCTTCATATTGTGGCTGCATGGGAATAAAAAAAATCATTTGAAATGACACAGCATGCAGATAAGCCTACCTAACAATCATTAAAAAAGTCATTTACTGGGGATATAAAAATAATTTTTAAATATTTTAAATTTTGTTGTAACAAAGAAATTTCACTTGGATCCTTATTTAAATTATTCTAAATAATTGAAATTAATTTCTCTATGTGTAGAACTAGCAACAGAACGAGGATTAAAATTTAGCCTTTCTATACCCCAACCACTGGATTTTTGTTTGTTTGTTTGCCAACACTGTCTGTTAGAGTCATTGATAATTGTTTTATTTCTGGTTGTAATTAACACATATCGACCTTTGAAGCTGGCTTTTCCTTATCTGTAAGGTAGATTTGATTGCTATTCAAAAATACTCATTGACTTTTCTCTACTTCCAATGACAGAGTTATTTTCCTCATTCCTCAATTCTAGGACTTGACAACAAGATATTAGCAGAGATGTCAGAAATAATAGTTTGAAAACAACTTGTGTGTTTGAGCTCTAGGTAAATACATTTTGATTGTTACATGACACTGAGATTCTGTGATTGTTAGTTACAGACTTACTGCATTCATAATTAACTAATATACACACTTGGATCTATTTCAATGATATTAAATGCCACTAGAAAGATTTTAGAAACATACTCACAGAGCTAGAAAATGCATGCAAAATCAAAATTGAATGTCATTTAAATATTTATAAGAAATATGATTCTTCCTGGTAACAATACTATGATAATAATTCAAAGTAGTGTTAGGCGGTAAATGTATTAGTTTAATCCAATCAAATGGATAAGCAGCCTATTAAAAAGTTATATAATTATATTTGTATAAATCAAACCATAAAATTGAAAGAGGATATAAAAGAGTTAGTTAGAGCTTACCTTAACCTCTAAAGACACAGGTTGCAAAAGAAAGGTGCAAAGCATCATTTGTAAACTCTGATCCAGAATCCCTTATTAACATAGCAAATATATTAAACAAAATTAACAAACAAAAAGATTCAACTTGAAAGTTTAGGTCTTATGAACACTGAATATGAATGTTCATAGTCCAGATTTACCACAGCAGTCACAATGACGGATAGACAAGTAAGCCTACCCAGCTGAGGACACCCAAGTTGCTTATTATGATATAATTTTTGTTTTAGTAGTTGTGTTTGGGATGTCAAGAGGAAAAGAATTAAATACAGAAATAATAAATCAGTAAGTTTTAGTATTCCGTGTTAGATTAAGAAAGTATATGTACAAATCCTTATAGGATGAAATATGTTGCATATCTAACATTTGAGTGCATTTTAAGTTTTGGGTGATAAATTAGAACATTTAAAAGATATTGAGTATTGACAGAGACCTGTGAATTTACATTGAAAATTATAATAAAAAGTTTGTAACTTCATTGGAATGTTTAAGATAAGAATCATCACATTTATAATTTTAATTTTTTAGATATTCTTAAGTAGAATGTGGAAATGTTCTGTCAGTTAATTGAAAAACTTAAAAAGCGAATGGCATATGTTAAATTAATAAAATAATTTTACAAAAGATTTTAGTTTACTGCATTTGTGTAATAAAACATATATTTATGTTTCTCATTAAAACTAATTGTGAAAATTATTTCATTTATAATAGAATAATAGAAACATAATACTTGAAAAAATCTAGAGGTAACACAATCATACATGTTGAAAAATCAAATGTCTGCTTTTGATATTACATTTTAATGAACTCAATGGTAATTTAGAAACTCAAATTGAAATTCAAAAATTTTCAAACAAAGTCATATTTACCTCCTTAAGTATACATCATAAAGAAAATACCTGAAATGTATTTGTTTCCTAAAAGAAAATTACACATTCTTATTATGTAAAAGGTTAGGGGAGTGAGAAAACAAGTAATTAATAAAAAAATTATTTAATGACAATGGGATACTTAAAATATTTTTAGCGTTTTGATAGCCTCATCAAAAACTTTTGTGTCTCTGTGCCAGCATTAAGGACATTGCATGTCTAAATTTATGCAGCAGAGGGCACCCTATAAATCCTTAATTTTCTAGCCTAATCAATTTATTCTGTGTTTCAGGGGTTTTCAAAATTGATGAATAATATAGTTAAATTTATAACTGAGATGTATCCTATTGTCAGGATATATGAGCTATAAGAAGGCAAAGGAAAATACCCAATATTTACACTAAAGTGTTACATATTTTATGTACACATTCTTTATGAGAACAAAATTAAAGACAAAGTTCAGCAAGAACACAGTATCTTTAATATGATGATATAAAATTTTAAAAACATATTGCTAAGATATTTAAAATTTGTAGAATCTAAAAGATAAAATGTGAATCAAAATTATTTTTATGGGAAGATGTAATTATATTTCTACACATGTATGATGCTTTGTTTACTGTTGCAATGCCACAATAATTGGAAATGAAATTTAAATTTCTAGACAAGAATATTATTCAAATATTTCTCAGGAATGAAAGGTCCTAAAAATTAATATCTAGAAATAAATGTTAACCATTGTTGAACTGTGGGAAATTTCACTGGAAAAAAAAATGAACACTGTTTTCTGAAAGGGTGCATAAGAATAAAAATGTTCTTACCAAATTAAATGATTATTTGTAATGAGATGCAGATATTCATTTTTATAACAGTTCAAAATTGAGAGATAATATTAAACTGTTAACAAGTTTATATAAATATACCTTAAATAAGCAGCATATATGTCATTTTACAACTGCACTTCTTACTATTCATAATTACATCTTTCAGCACTGGATGTTAGCAATCAGCTGTTACAAACAGCCAAGCCATATACAGTTAATTTAATTAGAAAAGATGAGTATTTAAATAATATTATTAAGCTCAGAACTCCAGGAGAATCATAGAACAATGCTTGCAGATGAAGCAGACGGGGACCAAGACCCACTCTCATGCCACAAAACTGGTCCCTTGAAGATCACACTGCCTGTAACCTCCTCTCTCTGTTGCCTGTACACTCTCTTAGTATTATATGTCTGCCAAGCAAACATACTCAAATTAGTTAATTTGAGTAGAAAAAGATATTATAGTTCAAAAAAATTTCTGGGAAATCCCTGGGGAACACATGTGGCCAGAAACACTGATCAGAAAGCCGTCCTGTAAGCACACTATTTCGGCCACTATTAAGGTAGAGACATTACAGCAAGACCTCAAAATCACGAACACAGGACAGTGAGTGATGTCACTAGGCACCACAGGCTACCGCTGCCTCTGGAAACAAGGTGTCCTTACTGCGGCTGCTTCCCGCTTACGCATGAATTCTGTATGCTGTCCACTGCCTTGGGGTATTGGCTTTGCTTAAAAGTCTAGGTGGCCACCTCTGATGCACTATTCCTAAGTCAATTGTCTGTACCTTCATTGCAAAGGAAACCATGGTAGAGACTTACTGGCATTTTCATTATCTATGCACAGATACAGACTCTGTTTCATTTGGTAGCAAATTGCCAAAACACAAAATAGATGCTGAGAGTTAAAAAATGGTAAAGGTTTATTGAATATTCCATAAGTGACAGTTAATAAAGAAACAAAATAAGCTTGACTTTCTAATATTTATAAATATTACATTAAACAGTATTAACCACATTTATATGTCAATTTATTCATTGAGAGAGATACATTCATTATAAATATATAATTATGTATAACATATATATGAATGAATGTATTCACTAATTGAAATATATATCTACTTTATATATATAAAGTAGAAATCTGTCTCTCTCATACATATATAAAAAATAACCTTTGAAACATTTTTAATTTGCTGAAACTTCTAACCTGGATTTTAAATATCATATTATTAAGAAAAAATTGAACAGTTAATGAAGCAAAGCAAACCAACTGAAGCATACTACTTTTCTTACATTAAAAAATTAATTAAGAAGATAAAATGGGCTGGGCACAGTGGCTCACCCCTGTAACCCCAGAACTTTGGGAGACCAAGGCAGGTAGATCACTTGAGGCCAAGAGTTTGAGATCAGCCTGGGCAATACGGCAAAACCCCATCTCTACTGAAAATTTAAAAAATAAATAAAATTAGCCAGGCATGGTGGCACAGCCTGTAATTCCAGCTACTCGGGAGGCTCAGGTGAGAGGATGGCTTGAGCCCAGGAGGCTGGGGTTGCAATGAGTAGAGATTGCACCATTGTACTCCAGCCTGAAGCTCAGCTTAAAAGACACAGATCAAACATTTTATAAGTGACAAAGGAGGTATCTGCAGTGGAATTTGAAAACTGATTCTGAATGTTAAGACAGTTAAAAATATTTTATCTCAGTCTCTGTTACTTGGGATTTGGTATTGCCAAAGCTCCTTTTCTTAAATGTTTAGGTACACAGAGCTCTATAATAGGATCAGGTTTCCTGGTCTTACTCCAAATTTTCTACCTGGGAAGTCTTTATGAAAGTCATCAGAAATATATAAAGTCTCAGTATATGAGAAACTTTTATATACTGGAGAATTATTCATAAAACTGAACAGTACTCAGATTGCAAATAAATCAATAAAGTTTCATCTGTTTGAATAGGAGGTTCCAGTCAAGGACAATTGAAAAATGACTCCCTGAATTTCTGAGCTGATTTCTGTGCACTAGTCAAGAAGAGAATTTTCCCACTAGATAGGAATGCAAAAAAAAAAAAAAATACATTCACATCTTCTCAATTCAAGCCACCCACTCACTGAGTTTCCAGGACAAAGAATTTAAAAGATTAGATGGATTTATAAGTAATAGCATATCCTATATTCTTGGGAAAAGTTCTCTTGTGATAGAAAAAAAAAGACTGTGATTGCCTCATGTGGACTGCATGCAAATGTTGATTCATGGACACAGGCACCATGACTCATAACGTCCGTGGGATTGTTTCTTAAAGAGGAGCGTGGGAAGACAAGGCCATGGAAAGTCTCCTTTTTTCTCTTATTCTTTGACCTGTCTATATATTATAGACTGAAGTCACTGAGAACTGGAGAATTTACTTCCTCTGAGAATTGTTAATTTATTACATGACAGGAAAAAGTATACGTTGTGTGCATGTATGTGGGTAAACATGTAAAGACAGTATATGCATATCTTTAAAATTGATACATTAGAATAGAAAAGTTTACAGCTAGAAAAACACAGCTCTACATTGCTCCTATTAGACTGCATCAGGGAAGTAATATTGTGAGTGGGCTGGAGAGAAGTCTATAATTTCCAAAAAGTTAAATCCCTCAAGAAATAAAAGCATAGAGATTAGAACGTGGCTGACATGTATAGGTCTAGGTAAAATGAATTGTCACTATATGTACAAGCCTAAAAATCCAATTCAATTTTATTCTTTTTTTCTGCTAATGTTGGTTGCCTCTCTTAGGAGTGTACACTTAGTAGAGTAATAAGTATTTATTCTGTACACATAATGCTTGTATGATCACAATCTATTCATCTAGTAAAATATAGAAGAAGAATCTAAAAAAGGAAGTGGTGGCACTAGTAAATTTCAGAGGGACTAATGAGAAACTTCTGGCAGAAAATAAGTGGTAGATAAAGAACTTATTGTATTTGTGAATGGCTAGTATGCAAAATTATTCCTATTTCAGTCCATTTAAACTAGGAAAATTAAAACTATTGTATAATATATACTTATATTTATATAATATATTGTGTGTATATATGCATATATATCCCTCTTGCTTTTCCGGTTCTGCTCATTAAGACTTTATAACTAAGAGATAAAAAATAATTATTTTTAGATTTTGGAACCACATTTTAACATATATTAGATAGTCTACATTTTGCTAATAAAATTGTAAGCTAATCACAAAGAAACAAAAATCCATATTGAACATTTCATATTACTAGCCTCTTCCACAGACATTATTTGTTCTTGGTCTTCATGAGAATTCAGTGAGAAAGGCTATGACAGACTGTATTTTTCAAAGATCTTTGCCATAATGACTGCATCCTACACATCCTTATTATAAAATTGTTTTGACACTCCTTCCATTGAAAGTGCCTCTCTCTTGAATCTGAGTCAGCCTTTGAGATGCCCACCACTGATAAGTGGGTCTGAAGTGATGCTAAGTGATTTGTGAGGCAGAGTCATTCAAATGGCGTTTTCTTCTCACTGTGTTCTTAAGATGTTCACTTGCAACCGAGCCCCGATTTAAGGAAGCCAAACAGCCTTATAAATAGCCCCAATGCAGGTGTCCCAGAGCTGAGGCCTAGATGAGAACTGAGATGGACTGTCAGATATATGAGTGAGAGAGGCTCTAGCCCCCAGCCTTCCAGGCATGCCAGCCTTTGAGCCATTGCAGCTGAAGGCACAAGTCAGAGATAAGGATATCCATGCCAAGACATGCTCAAGATTCTTGAACAGAAGACGTAGTGGTTGTTGTTGATATGTTTTAATGATCATTGTTTGGAAAAGTTTGTATCAAGACAATAGAAAACTGGAACATAACATCACTACAGCTATTTTCACAAAAGGGGCAACACCCAACGTCCCATAGCTAGAATACATCAGAACAAAAATCAATATCCAGGCCAATTAATCACAAGCCTGAAGCCCTTAATGGTCCATGTATAAGACAGCTTATTCTGTAATCAATATCTCACAAAATTGTGATTTTTTTCCACTATTAAAATTAACATATTTATTAACCAAGTCCAAGGTGCTGTAAAAATTAAATAATACACTGGATATTTTAACCTTGTACATTATGAATTCAGATAAAATTAAAGTGAATCTACCAGAGATGGTAAGAATATAGTCATGATAAAAGTCAATTTAAAAGAATGAAGAACACTAACAAGTTATAGATTACTTTTTAAAATTCAAAATATATGTCAAACTAATTTCTTTAAATACTAAAACTTAATGACGAAACATGGATAAAACACATTATCAAATGACCAATCTATCAGTGTTAACAGTTTTAAGTGGTTTGAAACAGACTTGGTTAAAGTAGAGAATGATTAGCACTTACTCTCTTTCCTTCCATAAGACTTTTTGGAACTCATCCAAATGCACCTGCAAAGCTGCAATTTCAGTTACTTGATTTTCCAAAGGCAGATTTATTGCTTTCAGTTTCAGCCCAGGTTTCATTTCACCATTTCCAGAACCACCATTCTTGAATAAATCAACACAATCTAGATTAGGTTTCATCTCCTCATTTAATTTTAAAGAATCAATAACCACTCCTTCTTCCTGAAAAAATAAAACAATTACGTTAGATATTTAAACCCCTAAGGAGAAAAATCATGGCAACAATACATTTTCATAAAGAAATAAATGTTACAATACAACATCAAATCCATATTTTTATTTCATTATCATTACCTAAAAGTGTTACATGGCCGAACTTCCTTGCGTTCTTTTTAAAACTTTTCTATGTTCTACCTTGTTATAATAAAATACATTTCTAAAAAGGTCTGCTTTAGCTCTTTGATTGTTTTCTTTTACTAATCATAGCTAAAAATAACCATGCACAAAGTTGAACAGCTGTAAAGAATTTTTTATTGAGTTGATGAATTCTTTTTCAAGTTTCTTTTGTCATAAGAAAGACATAGTTTCAAAGTAATTTTTTTAACGTTTTTGAAAGACAAGATAGAATTTTCAGAAAGCTCTTGAATATTTTAATAAACGCACTTATTGCTTTATTTTAGTTCTACTTATTGCTTTATTTTAATTCATGAGTCACATCTCAAATAGAATTTAATGGGACACTTGATATGGACAGCAATACTAGAGCAGCAACTGCATCAATACTCTTAGTGCATAACTCAAAAACTCACAGGACTCATGCTACTGGTATTTGACTATAATTTAAATTTACCCTAGTTTATAAGTTTGAAGTGAAAGACAATTTCAAATAAAATCTCATTGAATAATCAAGTTCAAGTAAAATCTCCATAATACTTCAATATTATATGTTTTAAATAATATATGGATGCCAGATTACCTAGTATAATTCATTCCTTAATTCTCTCAAGAATGAGTATTGAAATTATCTGTATCATAATACTTTGACAAACAATAAAATAAGATGTATTGTTCATGGAAAGTATTGAAGTCAGACAAATGATACACATACATATCTTTCTTGTTGGGCATAGAGTTGGCAAAGATAGGTCAAAATTTTGAGGAAAAAACTGATTAAAACGTCTTCAACAGGTGATATTTATTTTCCTACTATCAGAAGGAAATTCCAGAAGGAATTTTTCAAATAAATAAATTTTAATAAATACCTACTATGTTTGATTTTTTCTTGACATTAATGTTACAAAGACATTTCAGAAGAAATCCCAAGATATTGAGAATTTTCCATAATAATACATGTGAAGAGAATCCTTCATTCTCTCAAATGCAAAGTCCAGTAACTTGTAATAATAAAAAAAGTTTTGTGGATTTAGAGAACATTATGTGAGCTATGTTCCCTTATGCTCATCATTGCATTCCTCTAGTGCATACATTAATATAGCTCAATTTTGAGAATATATGATTTTCCAAAAGATACATACAAAGGTACTAACAGCCAACATTGAATGCTTTTAAAAGAAAATGTAGAAGAACAAATAAGAAGAAGTAATTACATTACGTAAAATTCTTCATTATTTTATTTGCAATGAATTCTAGGTTTTACCTACCATAAATTCTATACATTACAGAATGGCTTAAAATACTAAATGCAATGGTAGAGGTGCCAGATATTAACTAATATGTATTAGAGATGTGATTAAGTAGAAAGAGGTAACAAAATAAACTGATATTATGATAAGAGGTAACAGGAGTTCCCAAAGTATGTTCTTTGGGTCTTAATAATATTTACCAAGTTCAAACAAACAAACAAAACAGGGTGGCGGTTCATGGATGAATAAGTATACAAACTGATAGACGTTTTAAAGTTATACTTGTTTTGTCCAGAATTCTCAGAAACTGATATTCTATCAATAAATTCCATCAGTGGGACCATATGAAGCATTTCCTAAAGTACCCTATTTGCCTGCAGTACCTGTTTTATAAGAAGTTAATTGTGAGGCTTGAGTCCCAAACTTTGAGAAATATTCAAACTACACTATGGATTGTTTACAATTTTGACAAATTAACATAAATGGAAAGAAATGTCTCCAAATATTTTCTTTTCAGATTAACAATGCTGAGGTTTTTCTTCCTATAAATATTAGTAAAAAAACTGGTATGGGCTGAAAGTGTGCTTTCCCAAAATTTATTTGTTGAAGTCCTAACCCCCAGTACCTCAGAACGTGATTGTTGGTGAAGACAGGACCTTAAGAAGATGAATTTAGTTAAATTAGGTTCATTAGTGTCCTAAAAGAATAACATAAGACACAGACACGTGTACAGAGAAAAGACCATGGAAGACACAGGGAGAAAACAGCATTCTATAAGCCAAGGAGAGAGGCCTTAGAAGAAACCAACCATGCTAGCACCTTGATCGTGTACTTCTAGCTTCTACAATTGTTAAGAAAATAATTTTTCTGTTGCTTAAACCACCCTGATTAGGGTACTTTGTTACAGTAGCCCTGGCAGACTAGCATAGTCACCACTGGATTTGTCACTTCCTTCTTCCTCCTCGTCACTACATATGACATTCAGAAATCCACATCACCTCTGGATTTTTTTCTTACCTTATTATTTGTTTCCTCCTTTGTAGAAAATTGTCTTTTTACTAAACACTCTCTGATAGACTCACACCTTTGAAAACCAAATTGAAATTGTTCTCTATGTTCACAGGATTCTTCTACGAAACCAGGAAGCTTCAGATCCTGGGTGATTTTAGCTTCTAATGCCTCCTTCTGAGGTGGCAAATTCTGTTTCTTTTTCAGTGTACTCAATTCTTTCATTGCCATCTCTAGTTGTAGTCTGAGTTGCCTCCCTTCCTCCCTGGCACTGTTCCTTTCCGCTCGAACTTTACTCCATTTTTCTCTCCAGTTGGCAGTGCAGTCCGACCACCACCGCATGGTCTTTTCCATCTGAGCAGCTCTGGCCTTGACTTCTTCAAGTTCCCGGAGGCGAAGTTCTTCACAAATATCCCATTCATTGGTGTTACATGAACGTGCACATAAATTGTGAGCAGCATGAGACTGTAGCCCACAAAACGGGAAGCAGGTATTATAGGTATCCCTGGTGGGTGAGGCAGGTGCCACCATGTCACAGTGTGACTTAACTGATGACTGCTGCATCTGGAAGATCTGTGTTTCCTCAATTAATCGATGAATGGAATCTAAATTCATATTTATTTTTAAGACCTAAGAAAAGATAGAGAACATAATTTCACTCTGAAATTTCCCTTGCAATTACAAGAACAAGACCTACATTTTCGAAAATTTATAAAAATACATCTTTTCTCAAAAAAAAACCAAAACAAAACATTGCTGTACATGCATTTGCTTGTTTGTGTGTCTCTTGCTTTGCTTTTTTTTTTCTTTTTTGCTTGTTCTTTTATTTCTCTCTCTCTCTCTTTTTTTTTTTTTTTTTTTTTGAGACAGTGTCTTGCTCTGTCACCAGGCTGGAATGTAGTAGCCCAATCTTGGCTCACCGCAAACTTTGCCTCCCAGATTCAAGCAATTCCCCTCTCTCAGCCTCCTGAGTAGCTGGGATTACAGGCATGCGCCACCACACCTGGCTAAATTTTGTATTTTTAGAGATGGGGTTTCACCATCTTGGCCAGGCTGGTCTTGAACTGACCTCGTATTCCACCTGCCTTGGCCTCTCAAAGTGCTGGGATTACAGGCGTGAGCCACCTCATCCAGCCCCATCTTTTCAATATTGCATATTTTTCCAATGTAACTAAAAATATAGAGGAATTTAAACATTTGTAACTATCCACTAAGAAATAGAAAATGCTCATATTCAATTTTGCCAAACAAATACAAGTAAAAATATAAAGATGCAATTTAAGATAGCATATGACATAAAAAATTCATTTTGACAAATCCAGTTCTATTCAGGTCATATCTTTTATAGCATTGTCCACTACAAAATACAAACTGTAATATTTAAGGTCCAATAACTGCTTAATGGTTTTCTTTTTTCCTGATAATTAAGCCTCAATTTTTTCAGGCAGAATGCAGAACCTATTGATCTGTGGGCGAATAAGCCTCTATCCCAATCCCAGAGGTTAAACCATAGTCTGCCTTTTCCATGATGCCCTTCATCTATTGACTATTGACTAGTTTCACAACAGGCCTATAGCCTGGCTCTGGCTGCTGGGATGTGAGATGAAGTATACTGAGAAGGTTTCCCCATCTAGAAAAATATGGGAACATCACAATGAGGAAGTTTCTTTCCTCTGCATTCCTTGTGTTTGAAAAAGGATGTGGTTCTGGAAGAAAGTAGGTATAAAAGCCTTCTCATAACATTCAAAATGGTGAGTCATAAAGACAAAGAGCCTGATTTAAGGTGTGACTTGTGGCATGACACCTAGAATGCATACCTCTGACTTCTTTACTATGTGAGCAGGATAACCTATATTTATTTAAGTTATGATGGTTGAGCTTTCTGTTATTTTCAAGCAAAAGCACATCTAACTTACACATGAATTCATTTATTACTGTGGTTAATATTGTGATAAGCTCTAAAAATAAAATATTATGAAAAAGACATGATTCTTGTGTGTCAAAGATTTTGCAGTCTGGTGGATCAGACAAGCAGAGTTAAGTTTTAAATATACATAATTTACATTATAACAAATACATGTATTTGTTCAATCATTTTGTTTATTATGTAATATGTGTCAAGTCAGTGTTAGATTCTTAGGTATGGTCAAGGTGGTCTAAGGAGTACTGATTAAGTTATGACTGTCTCTTGGAAATGAGGAAACTCTGCAGCATAGATAACACTACACAGAGTCTTAGCCCACTGCAAAGCTTTGTAAAGGAATTGAAATCAACTTTCCATATAAATACCAAAACACAAATTAATTTGTAAAGGTATACCATATGTAACAATACAGATACCCATTTCTTTATTCAACATAGTAATGTAGGTATATTGAGAATATAGTAAGTTAAATTTTTGCTTTAAAATAAGTGCTGAAAACATGCGGCTTAATTTGTAAGTTAATATAAGTTCCATGGCTGGATATAATTACCCATTTTTATTCTCAGATATGCTTTTCTGGTGTAAATAATCTTAGATAATATTTTATGTGCATGACATTAAATCCTCTCACTTTTTTTCATTTGCTTTTATATAGTTACACATCATAAATCGCCTCTTTATGACCCATCTATTTAATCAACTGAATGGGTTTCATTACTTCAACTAACTTGCAAAATAAGCCTTTAATCATTGGAAAAAAAGACTATATAATCTTTTCAAAAGATGAATATTAAGGATATCTAATTAAGAGATCTGATAATATTAAACTTAATATTAACTTTTAATTATAGAGAAAAAAACATTTTAAAAGTGTTCTATAGAGATATCAAACCACTTCACTCTTCATTATAATATTTGCTATAATAATACAGACGCATGGTTGCAATTATTTTTGTTAGCATTGGTATATGTCCAATTGTGTTTCAATTACTGCTGATTTGGAGTATTTTGTTCCCTTCATTTACTATAATTCAGAGGGCTATAAGAATATAACTGACTAAATTCCAAGACCAATATAAAAAAGAAAAGAACAAAAGGAACTCTTAATTAGAAACACAGCAAATATATATATATATATATATATATATATATATACACAATTTACATATACATATACATATGTATATTCATTATTCAATATTTAATGATATTTCTTCTGGTTGAAATGACAAAGTGAAGACAGAGAATTTAATTCAGCATATTAAACTTAAATTTATATCCTTGCCAGTTTTCAAAATAAATCGGTATCATAAAATTGTAATGTCTTTAAAATGTCTCATTAACTTTTATTTCACTAGTGTTTTGAAGACTCTATGATTGGATTCTGGTAAGTTGAGATCTTGCCTACCAATTAACTGTGTATTTCTTCACATCTGACTAAATAAAAATGAGCTGGGCTTAATCAGTCAGTCCTTGAACTTGAAGAGTATTTCCTGTTTTAAAAAGTTTTCTCAGGCAAGGAAAACTTGCTTGAGATGAGGAGAGTTAACACACATATGCGTGTACTAAAGTCTTTATTTCCTTATACAAATGTGTGAACTCTTGGTGTTTTAGCTTAGACAACTATGAACATATTTGCCAGTGGTTGTAGGACATATTTGTAGTGATCCTGTAGTACAGGACCACTGATACATGGGGAAATATTTTAATGCTGTTGACTCCAGTTTCTTGTACTGATTTTTGTATTGTAAACATGCCCAATCAGGCCACCACGATTCCTGCAAATATTTTTGAATGTAGTATATAACCAAATAAATAAAATGTTAAGGGTCTACAAAGTATATATAATATCACTAAACAATATTATTTGTTGCCAAAGAAGAGCTTAATGTGTAAGGTAGTGGACTCCAGCCTCTATTGGGTAGTCTTACTCTGCCCCATTTTAGACAATGGTCTTGGACAAATTACATAAACTGCCTTTGACTCAATATCCTTAGTGTAAAAGGAGACAAAGATCGCACGAACCTCATTGAATTCTTATGACTATTAAAAGAGAAAATACCTACAGATTTGTTAGCCCTAGCTGTCTTGCAGTCAAGGCATATGGTTTTCTCTGTGTTATACAAGTCATTACAATGTCACCTTGAGGTACTAATTGCATCATTTACTTTTTTGTGTGTTTTTTCCCCTGCTTTTTGAAAGAGAAATGGTATACTTAAAAAACAGGAAACGCATAGGAAAGTGCTCTGTATTTCATGTAATAAAGCTGCAGTTTCAATTTGTCTATAATATTAATATTAATCAGTGGAATACTCAGTACTATTATTATCCTCATCTTAGTGATAAAGAAACTAAGGCTTAGGCTCTGACGTATACATCCAAGTCATACAGTTACAAGGGGTCAACCCAGTTTGGAAACTGAGGAAATTTGAATCCAGAGCTACTACCTCTTCATATAAATATTCTACAGCTTCAAACTATCAACTATTTTCTCCATAAATCTTTTAGAGTATTTCAGGAATACATTGGATATACTTCCACTTTGAATATATTTATGCCAAAATATCTCCTATTAAATCACACAATTAGTCATCTGATCCTGACACTGTCCTTTGAGTTCATTCAATCTCTTAAAGGCACTTCGGGGTCCAGGCATGTCCATCCTCTGGCCTTCTCTTTGTCACTTCATCTTCCACGTCCCCTGTGTCTCCCACCCTGGATGTGTCTATTCCTTGCACAACCTCACCTCCGCATTCTCCTTGGTACAACCTGTTTGCTCTGCAGGAGCAGGCTCCCCTCTCTCCACAGGCCCTCTTTCTCCTGGCTTCTCATCCTTCAGGTCACAGTTTATACTTCCTGCTAACTAAACCTGTGATCTGAGAATTCTAGATCCCTTAGAGGCCCTTTGTCTAAGGGTGTCCAAGGGAGAGAACACAGTCATGGGTTCTTAGTTTCTGTTTCTGACTGGGCTCGTAAAACCCCTTCCTCATCTCTCTTTTTCACCTATCACCAGCAGCAGAAACTAAAAACCATGGTTTCTGCCTGCTAAATGCCTAAAACAAAAAAACAAAATGCAACAACAACAACAAAACAAGGTGGGTTGAATATCCACCGCTGACCTGCTCCTTGAAAGTGAACAAAAGAGACATCACGTTTGCCATCCTGGATGTGGCTGACAATCATAAATAATAAACCAAACTAACAATCACACTTTTAAGTAATCTTTGAATGGAGCAAACAGTGTATTGTAATCCAAAATATCTCTATGTATTTAGCAGTTTCTCCCAAGTGACATTTTATGTACTATCTGAAGAATGAAATGGGGCATAAAGAAATGCATTTTTGGCAGAAGTTACATTTCCATGGCAGGATAAAACAGGCATTAAAAATATTTTTGTCTTATTGTTTATAGTTATTGCTTTATTGTAATCTATAGAAAATGAAACCTTTCTTGAATTTTTTCCTAAGAAGCATAGGACCTGTAATGCACACAAAAGCCATATGCAGTGAGAAAATAGATTAATACGGATTCAAAGCACAACACTAAGAAACAATCATTATAATGGATATAATGGCATATATTTTGATAAAAAGAAAAAAGTCAGTTTTTAATATTTAGGAAAATAGACCCTTGTATTGTATTACAAAATGTAGCCTGTCAAACAGTCACAAATGGTGAATATGGAAATGAATTTTGTATAGTTCT